CATTATTATTAAAATTGTCAAAATAATCACAATAATCGTAACGCCTTAAAATTTTAACACAGTATTAAACCTTGGGCTTTTTGATCCATGACCGGGCAGGCCGACCAGCAGGTCAGCTGCAGCGGAAGCTCCCATTTTTCTTCAGCTCTGAGCTGTCTAAAGAGCAAAGCCTTTCCAGCTGGAAAACAAGAAGAACGATGTCTTCCATCACGGCATCAATGGCACAGTACTTCTGTGCGTCCAGGGGTTCCCCCTTGGTTCACCATCTACTGGTTGTAAAGCCAGGCTGTGTCAAATGAGCCCTTGAAGCGGTCATTACGCTTCAAGCGGACAGGATAGCACTACACACAACCCTGTGTGTAGTGTTATCGTATCGCTGCTCCACACGTTACGCACGCAACCCCCCCGGCAGAGCCCGGGTGCGGGCTCGTGCGTTACCGCAGCATCACCGATGCAGTCCCTCCTCCTGCATCCAGAGGTGTGTGACAGGCTGTGCTGTGCGCTGTTCATGTGTGATATATGGCATATATGGCAAGTGTGTGCCAAACACGTTAGGCACGGCAGGCGACAGTGACGCTGGGGAGAATTGTGTTTCTTGTAACTACAGAACACATTGTGTGAGCCAGCTGTGGGTTAGCCAAACGGCTAACAAGCAGCCTGGGCTTGCTGCAAAGCTGCACATCGTCTCTCCCCTTGCCCCTCACCCTGCTCTCTTCCCTTGCCGGGCGAGCGGCGCGGCGAGGTGAGTGGCATAACAGACAGGCTGCAGCTGGCCGGATGGCTTTCATGCAGTCTGGCTCCGATGCCACAAGCAGAATATTTCCTCCTCGGCCCGCCACTGTCTCTACGAAATCAGTGGCTGCCATCATACCGCGTGGAGCGGCTGCACCTGGCCGTGCAGCCTTCATGCAGCATGGCTGCAATGTCGCAGGCAGACCTTCTCCTCTGTTGCCTGTCCCTGCCCTCCCCACCTCGTCGGGGGAGCGGCATGGTTACGGGCTCACGGATGTGGCTGCCCAACCTCGTGCCCCGGCAACTGTGTCTGCCTCTGCCTACCTCCCCCCACTGGGAATGCAGTACGGCAGGGGACCCACGAGGGCGACTACACTCGTGTGGTCCCTTCCGCCACACATGGAAGGACACACAACAGACCCGTCTCTGAAGGTCTCTCATGATGTGGCCTGCGCCCCGAAGCAGTGGCGCAGATGGCCCAGCTAGTCGCACACCTGTCTTACCTGGGCTTCACGATGAACTGGAAGAAGAGTGCTCCTTTCCCCTCCCATAGACTCACCTACTTTGGCGTGGTACTGGACTCCTCTCTCCAGAGAGCGTGGCTCTCTCAGGAGAGGGTGGATGCTCTGATGGAGCTGCTCCACTGTTGTGAATTATTTTGGAGCATTATAGCCTAAATTGTTATCATTAATTACTATAGCAATGGTGGTCTACATTGTCATCATTTAAAGTGTTATTTTATAGTGTAAAGTTAGGATCACAGTGTTAAAACTCTACAGCTCTGAGTGTGTGATCCTTTCTGTATCTAACTGCCCAGGCTCAGCAGTAGCACATGTGTGTGTGAGCAAGTTCGTGTGCGTTGGGAGAAAAGGGAGGGAGCACAGTGAGGCAGCATCAAAAACACTTACAAAGGAAAATATAGAAGCAGATTTTGTGAAAATTGTTTTATAAAACATACATCAATATAGTCCATCACAGTAAGAATGTCCTGTTTCTAGCACAGAGCACAAATAACACCAGTTTATTCCATAAAAGTCAGGTTATGGAAGAAATGGCATGATCAAGCGGAGTACATGCAAAGGACACAGAGAGGAGGTGCAGGCAGTCAGGGACTTTCCCAGATTGTAGCAGTAGTAGGGAAGAGAGCCAAGAGATGATATGAAGCCAAGAAACAGAGCTATAAAAGGAGGTGAAAGTCAGTCGTTACATAGTTTTCAAGTCGACTCGGGTCTCTGTTCTGGTAACAGAATGGGGCTCTATTTTGCACCGATCTCTGACACACTCTGGTGGAACTTTTGTATTCTAATTGGTGTCTGTTTTTGTTGATAATAAAAATGTTGGTGAAAGTTTAAGCTTTTTTATCGGGGCCCAAGTCTTGAATTTTTACACGACACCACCATGTTGTCCCATGAGCGGCGGTGGCAGCTCTGTCGCTCATGAAGCTCCTGGGCCTCATGTCGGCGGCTCACATGGTGGTTCCCCTGGCTGCAGCAGTGGTTCATCCGCTTGTGTATCGTCCCCGGTCAGACAGAGACAGCGGCGATCCTGTCTGTGCCCCAGGTTCTGGCCTACTGGCGGGACCCTCTCTCTCTCTCGGTCGGGGTCCCCCCTGGGCATGGTCACATCCCACATCTGTCTGTCTCCAACGGCTGCTGGTGGGGCAGCCGTGGAAACTCCGCTGGAGGGGGGGACGCTCTCTCTCAGGCAGGGGGTACGATCAGGAGTTACCCACTCCTCGACCAACCTCTCTGGGTCTGGCCACTAAGAGGCGATGCCTGGAGGGCTTAGATCTCTCCCGTGAGGTGATTCGCACCATCCAAGAGTCGAGAGCCGCCTCCACTCAGTCCTCTTACTCCTCTAAGTGGTTGGCTTTCCAGCGCTGGGTCTAGACCAGGGGACGGATCCGGTCACCTGTCCGCTGCCGGCAGTGTTTTCGTTCCTCCAGCTGCTCATGGACAGGGGGCTGGCGTTTAGTACGGTTAAAAACAACACTGCCACTCTTTCGCCCTGACACGATGACTTCGGGGACAGGACTGCGCTCTCCCACCGCCTGGTGAAACGCTTCCTTAGAGGCGTGCGAAGGCGCAGGCCGGTTACGCGTTAACCCAAGTCACGTTTGAGCCTTTGGAGACTCCTGGCTCTGACATCAGCCAAAAGGGTCAGTGATCTGGCTGCCCTCTCTGTAGCTCCGTCGTGCCTCAGGATTCAGGGCGACGTCAGCTTGGCTATTCTGTGCCCTAACCTGACGTTCATGCCTAAAAGCATTACGAGCTCCTTTTGGTCACATGTCATCCTCCGGATTGCATCAGAGCGCACTCCACGAGAGGTGTCTCCTCCTCAGTGACATCTGCACGGCGGCCTCCTGGTTATCCCCATGCTCTTTCGTACGTTTCTACCCACCTCTTTCTGACTCACTCAGTGTTTTGGCTGAGTGTGTGGTGCGCCCTCTCCCACGGGATGGTGTGGGGGGGTGGCAGCTAATGTGGTTGTTGTCATGACCCCACCTCTGTACAGCTGCGGGGCCCCCCAACCAAGTTTCCCGACTTGCGCATGGGTCGGCCCTCGGCCTGCTTCGCCTCTAACCCAATAGCGATGAACTTAGAGGGCGAAGCCTATATGATATAGATGGGGGTTACGTATTGTAACCCGGATTCTATAAATATAGGTGCAGCCGAAGTTGTAGGCCTCACTGGACCTTGGTTCTCAGTGCTGAAGAAAAGGCATTTGGGATCTGAAGTCTGGGTCTCACCGTTGTATATATATTCAAGGTGCGGACGTAGGAGAGGCCCACGCTGTGGGTGGGCATAGACTAATTCTCAGTGTCGGGCAGGCGCGCGGAAGGGGTAAACCCAATAGCGATAGCCTTAGAGCAGGGGTATTCAATTAGATTTCAAAGAGGTCTAGTTAGAGAAAATTTCCTGAAGCAAAGGTCCGGAACATCAAAACGACGAACGTTATCATTCAGTACTATAACCTATAGTTGTATCAACACATGTTTTTAGTCAACAACGGACTGTCAAATCAAATAATATTTGATTCACCAAACTGGAAGGATAATAAATAATAACTATTCAAATAATAAATTCTAAATTTAAGTAAACTAAATTAAAGTGCCTAATTTTTTAGAAAAAATGTAATAAAAAGTGTAGCTTGAAGTGATGAAGTGTAGTTTTAACCAATTTTATAATAAACACTCAACACATCATAACAAATGAACAGCTGTAATGCCTCCTCTTCTCTTTCATTTCCTCTTACAGAGCTACCACTTTCCTACTTTCTGTTGTTCAGTGAGAAACGTGAGCTCCAGCTAGCATATTGGAGATCTATGAGATATTCTGGTTTTGAACTGCCCGTGGGAGGAATGTACATGTAAAAATCTGTACATTCTTGATTAAAAGTCATGTGAAATCTCTTTTATCTTTCGTCTCCTCAATTCGGGTGTGTTTCCAAAACGTCTCTGGTGAATCTCGCGGACTCGACTCGCAAGCATCGGTATGCACAGATTTGATTGGCTGAGCAGCGTCACATGAGACGATTGCAGCACATGCGATTGGTCTGTGAGTTTCCTGGTCCTCCAAACCAGTACAGTAAATGCTAGAAAAGCTACGCGGGTTAAAATAGAAACGCTCCGTCACGAGGTAGTAAGTCTCAATAATAAATGTGCTGTAGGTCGGCGGTCCGGAGAGGACGGCGGCTGGGTCCGGATCCGGACTGCGGTCCGCCTATTAGTGACCTCTGGTTTAGAGGCTCCCAGTATGTTTTAGAATTGACTTTAAAATCTTATTGATCACTTTTAAAGCTCATCATGGCCTCTTGCCTTGTTATATTTCTGACCTTTTAGTCCCATACGCACCAGCACGTACCTTGAGATCCTCAGGCAGAGGTCTGTTGTCTGTTCCAGAGTCTGGACTGAAAACTAAAGGGGACAGAGCGTTTGCTCTGTAATAGAAATAATAGTTTGACATCCATTTGCTCAGTAAGGCCGTGATATGTGATCTCCTCCCTATGCGGACTTTGTCGCTCCGTAACAACGTCACATGACGTTTTTTATAATTTTCAGAGCCATTAAAGGGTTTTGTTACTTTAACGTAAACAGACCTGCTGAAATGACAGATGCTGTTGTTCTTCTTCCGAGAAGTTAAGGTAGAATTTGTAATGACAACGTTTTGTCAAAGCTTTATGGTCTTTAGGGTATGTTTACAATGTTTGATTCAGTTTATATTGTTATTTATAAATCTATTCAATTCTGATTTGTGTTTTTTAGGAGCGTTTTTGGTTCTGGAGTGATGGTACGCCTTTCACCTTTTCATACTGGTGCAAAGGAGAGCCAAATAACCTTAGGGGCCAGCACTGTTTACAAATAAATCATGGAGGTAAATCAGAAAATACTTTATTTTTGCATGGGACAGTAATGTACTTGTTGTGTAAATAAAAAAGGCTATATTAATGACAAAAGTGAGATCAGTTCATAAATGTATCCATCATCTTTTAAGCACAAACCTCTGCCTTGTTTTAGTCTTCATCAGCATCAAATGATACGTTCTGCTAAATAACCATGCTCACATCTTTCTGATCCACACAGATAACAAATGCTGGGATGATGTACAGTGTCACACTCGCCTTCCATCCGTCTGTATAAAGAAAACCAACTGATTCCTGGGCTGACACAGAGGCATGAAGCACCTGAAAAAATCACAAACATGGGTGGATGTTTTCTCTCTCTTTATGCCATCAGTCTAATATGTACCCTGAAGGCTCTATATCACATTTCATGTCTTTATTTTCATTTTCAAGATCTAAATCGTCTCTGAGGTCTTGTGCCTTTAATAAGCACAAACTTATTCTGCAGAGTGAACTGTGCTTTCTTGTTTCATGCAAATTAAAAGTCTCAAGCATTGAAACAAGCTGGTCTGTGAGTCTGTTTAAGATGTGATGTTTTAAGGGTTTAACTTCACTGTTCAGCAGCCAGTAAACAATCTAAAGACGGAACTTTAGTTCTCTTGTTGGAGACTTTAAAAGTTAATGTTATGTGTTTCACTGACAGAAGATGGGATAGCATCAATGCAGCAAAGCTTTGTCATGAAGTTCAACCAACAGAACAAGGGGGCGTTTTTTCAAATGTAAATAAATATGAAGGACTGTCACACAAATGTTCTTCTGTTCAAACAGATAAATAGATATCATTTTTAAGGATCTCTTCCATGATCAAAAAACTGTGTGCTCTTGCTGTGAGCTCACAGATAAACAATATCAATAATATATTTTTTTTCTGGGTTGGTCTGACAGGAAACTGTAGTGATGTGCTGGTCTGTATGCAGGAAACATTTACAGTTCACTCCAGTATCATTGCAAATGTGTAGTTATGGCAACAGACACAAACACTGCAAACACTGCAAAAGTATGGAGGGAAAAAAATTTTTAGTCTTATGATTTGACTGTAAATTATGTTGTGATATACCATCCATCCATCGTCAACCGCTTATAATGCGTACAGGGTCGCAGGGGGCTGGAGCCAATCCCAGCTTACATCGGGTGAAAGGTGGAGTACACCCTGGACAGGTCGCCAGTCCATCGCAGGGCTGTCTCTAATTCCAGCTTTCAGGACCGTAACCATGGTTCAGGAATTAGTAAGGTCACAGAGATTATTTAGGGTAATTCATACCAAAATGACACCTAAACACAACCAAAGTTACTACAGTCACACAAACTAATGATCTATAATGGAATACATACAAAGGGACCTGTTGGCAAAAAATAGGCTACTTATATTAAAGCTAAATTCTGCTGTATGTGTGCGTTTGCAGTGAAGGCTGAAACTGCACAGTGGACTCATCAACTACAGGCTCCTCATCATGTTCTTTCTGTCCACTGCTTAGCTCACTAAAATTTAATAAAATATGAGATACAGACACACAGGCTACGATCAGATTTAAAACACAGTAGTACATTTTGTCTAGTTTATAAGATATTACACAACACTGCTCCGCTTCCACTGAAGACATTTGTTGTGCAGAGAGCTCAGGTCACAACAGGTACCACAAAACTGTATCATTCCCTTTATTCGGTATATATTGCTTTTAAGTGCTGACTGTAATCAGTCATTTTATTTTACTTGAAATTTCATTTAAATTCTTTATTTTAGGTTGTCATTTTAATAACTGATGGACATATGAAAATTAACCTGTTGAGCTAACTCTGGCTCATTTACAGTTACGTTGCTGTTGATTAATGAGCACCGTCCCTGTCAAATGAAGTGAAATAAATGAAAAGAAAACTGGTACACTGACTGGGTTTAGAGCCCCCCCCCACTTTTCTTTTGTTCAGTAATACACGCAAAGAAGACTTTCAAGGATGATTCTGCATTATGCAACATCTTCTTCAGTGACAGTGATATTTCTGTGGCAGAGATAGCACACTTACTCTGATGCAATAATTCCCCAACTTCTGTTTTGAATGCATGTGTTGCAGGGCACTTCTCTGCCCACGGAGCTTTCTATTGTTCTAGACAGGTCTTGAATCCTTGTGTTGTTTTGTGTCTGTGTTTGTCTTCTGTATTGTTGTGTTTCATAGTGTGTATGTGGACGTTAATGTGTATTTTTTACTTTAGTTTTATAAATGCATTATATGTATATATGAATGTATGGATATAAATATATAAACAAACCTGCTGCCACTTGTGGAAAATAATGTTTATGATATATTACGGTTATTGGGTAAATGATACTGCTGACTAGATGAGACCAAAACAAATCTGAAAGAGTTAGGTGATAAAGATTGTATCATCCAAATGCAATATTTGTCTGTTCAGTTTAAACAAATAGTGACATTGCTGCCTGATCAGCTCTTTGGTTGTTTGGTAATAATGATTTGACATTAAGTAAACTGACTACAAGTGATGATCACTAACTGCTGAAATAATTACTCAACTTCTCTTTTAAATTTTGTCCAGATACAGACATTGAGCACAGGTTTAAGTTTTGGTCTTTGTATATTGTATATATTGTATATGCTACATACAGTAATTGGTAGCAGTTAACAAATAACCTTCATTCAGTCATTGCCTCTGGTACATTTTCCACAAGTGGCAGCAACTGAAGAAGAAGGTTTGCAAACTGCAGAATCATCATTGAAGGCCTTCTTTTCCTTGCATTTTATAATGAGCAATAGAAAAGTATGAGGAGCCTCTAAACCCAATTTGACACTCCTGCTGTTATTAATGTGAACCTGCAACTTAATTTTAGTGTTTCACTCTTAATAGGGCACTTGCAATGACTCAAAGCTCTACACAGCTGGAACTAGGCCTTTTTTAAATGTCTTATGTAGGTTTCCTCATTTACCATCATTTCTTAATGAATTTCACAGTTTATAGCCTATACATATATGACACTTCTCCCATTTGTTTCCCTATTATTTGAAACTTCAACACTGTTTCTTAGAAATTACGTTAATATAGCGCGCTCCCTTTTCCTTTGTCTTAACCCTCTATTGCCATATGGCAACAATTACTTTATCTCTATTGCAATAATAGGAAATGCTTCAAAATCCTTGCTTTTTATTGGTGAAAATGGGTCTTTTCACCCTTTTCCTACCGATCTATGACACTGCACAGTTCATGATCTGAGGTCAGCTAAAATAGACACATTTTTCAATATTTAAGAAGAATTTCCTAATTTAAACCAGTTAGGATTTGTTTTTGGTAAAATGCTAAAATTAATTTGTTGCCATATGGCAACTATATGCGAATATGGAGGAGAACTGCGTACCTTCAACCTACTGCACTTTAATTGTTGTACCCTGTAAACTCTGCTTATATATGTTGATTTTATTTATAGAACATGCAAGCCAACTTTTTCTTTGAGAGCAGGACAGTGAGCTGGGCAGTTAGTTGAGTTAGCTCCTGCAAAATGCCAGGATGCAAAGGCATTGTGAGGAACAGGTGCTCGATATGTGTTGTGTAATTCTGTGTTACCCAAGAGCGGAACTGCTTTGTGGCTTCTCACAAGGGGTTAAACTGGTGCAAAATGAAGAGTGTAATATAAATTTGTTGCCGAAATATGTTAATAATGACAAAAATGAAAAGGTTTATCTATTTTAAGTATAAGTTGAGTTTGTTTAGTCTTGTTTATAATAAAAGTATTATCGCTAAGTCCACCTTAGTTAAGGTTGCTATGCCGGTCAAGCTTTCTGTTCTTGCATGGATCATGTGATGTTTATAGTTATAAATGAATGATGATGCAAATTATTTATACATAAAAAACAGTAGGTGGCACCTACTTATCTATACTGTATGTGTTAACTGAACCTGAATAACTGCCTACACCTGGTGAATAATAATTTCAGCTATCTGAGTCAATGTGACATAAAAGTGCTGTGAGTGGTCGGTAGACTAGAAAGGTTATATAGGCTATACAAGTACAGACCATTTACATTTATCATTACATAATCTGCATGTAAGTAGACACAAAAAAGAGTAAATGCTCATTACAGTGTCAGAGTGCAGTTTAGGCACTATTGACCTATGGCTATTACTTAACTGATCGTAATATAGTTTTAATTTATCTTTCTGACAATATTGTGTTTGATAATGTTTCTGTGTATGTTTTCGTGTCTGTGCTCAGTTCCCTAATTTGTGAGAGATGACAAGATAAGTATCTGTTTATAAGGGCTGGTGTGTCTCTTCATCCGTGTTTCCACATCAGACAGCTGAAGCTACAGACGCAGAGAAGGAAGAAGAGAAGGTAATTCTGCAGCTACAAACTTCTGACTTTCCTTTACTGGACTGACAGTGGACATAGGTCTTCTGTTCTACAGAAGTACAGAGTTTTTCTCTCTGTAGCAAAGGTTATCATCATCTCATCATCTCCATCATGAAGATGCTGACTGTTTCTGCACTTGTTTGTGCCATGATGGCTCTGACTCGAGCTGCTGGTCAGTTTTATAAACAGAAAGTGTTACAGATGAATGTGTTGTACAATAACGATCAAGGTCAATAACTGCTGTGTCAAACTTTCTAGCTCTTCCAGAGGCAAACCCCGAAAATGCCCAACAAGGTCAGTGTGTGTTGTTCTGATGCTCTGCTGATGACTTACATGTTGTATAAATTAAAAGCATTGGCGGATAAAATGTTTATTGTAACTTATATTACGTCGTCTTGTATTATGTTTTAAAAAGTCATGTTATACTGTTTTATGTTATGTTATATTGTGCTGATATGTCATTTATGTCATAATTGTTATTTCGTGACTATTTTATGTTGTTATGTTACAGTGTCATGTCATTAAAATAAGTTGATTTCATATCTACATATAGAGACTTTAGAGACTCCACATTACTCACCAAACTCTACTTGTTCTCAGCAAAGAGTCACCTGGTCAAGAGGTCGACAGCTTGTTCTGGTCGCTGGTCTGAGTTCAGCGGTCGCTGTTTCCACTACGTTCCAAAACCCATGACTTGGGCCCAAGCTGAGGTAAAGAGGGAGACTTTGTTTTAGTTCAGAAGGCTTCTACAATATGTTTATTTTGTTTGCACATACATAGACATTTGGTTAATTTGCAATTTCTCTCTCTCTCTCGTATTTATCTTCACTGTAGAAAAACTGTGAGTCCATGGGTGGAAACCTTGCGTCCGTTCACAACCTGCTGGAGTACCATGAGATTCAGAGGCTGATCATGAGCGCAAGTTATGAGAACAAAGAAACATGGATTGGAGGCTCGGATGCACAAGAGGTATATTTATCTTTACACAAGCTCTTCTGGTCATTAGTGTTATTAATTCATTTAATATTTTGTTGTGTCTTCTAGGAGGGTGTGTGGTTGTGGAGTGATGGTACACCCTTCAACTATCGGTCTTCTGGAGGGTTTGATAACTTTCAGGGCAAGCAGCACTGTCTACAGATAA